CGCAATGTCTGTTATAATTTTTGTTACAATGTTGTTACAGTGTTGTTAAAATATTGTTGCAATGTTGCGATGTTGTCATAGCGTTTTTTTTGCCGTGTTGTTGTTACATTAGTTACAAAGACAACATCCATAACAATCACAACGCCAGCATATCCTTACAACATTATCTACTTAAACTTGTTGAGACTTGTTGGCCGTGGGTTTCTGGAGGGGTACGACTCATTCGTTTGCGTTTCAATAAACATTATAGGAAATAAATAAATTTGATCATCTCATATTTTGATTACATTTTGAACGTTTAAACAAAATATTAAAATTAAATGTTATTACAAATAACTCATTGGCGTTTTGGATTGCATAATTAATCTGTCTCAACATGCATTGTTACGCAGCTATCTGGTTCGAATGCAAATAAATCCTAAGCGATCAAGTTCAACGCGTCTTATCACCTTATCACGCTCGTATAAAGTTGTTTGTAGAAATGATTATTGAAAATAATAAAACCTGAATTTTCATAAACAACGAATGAATGTAACGTGGTAAATAATATTTTCCATATTGTAAATATTTTTAAACTAACAAAACAATCGTCAGACATTATGGACCACCTGCGAAAAAAAATTCAAATTTTTCAAACATAATTCAAAATTTAAAAATTATCTGAATGCGTGGACTCGACAGTCATCAAAGAAGAACGAAGTTTTGTAGCCAAAGTTTGAAAAAACAGCCATCAAGTGGGATGAAGGGGCGAAGCAGGCTGCTGTAAATTTGCAGGCAGTTTCATTAAATGTTCCCGCTATCAAAAACGTGATTGAGTTTTGAACGCCAGTGAGTGCACAGTAGGTCAGGTGAGCTGCGCTTACCTCAACTAGATGTTCCAATTCCCGTACTTTCCGTCCATTCGATTAAAAAATATTTTGTTTATGAATGGCAACATCTCATATGGACGAGACGATGACGCAGACAAAAACTGTATCAAATGACTCTGAATACGATTATAATTTTTCCAAACAGCAGTTTGTAATCATAACACACGAGTGAAATTATTTATAAGTAATTGAATAATTTGATGGAAGCATGTTTCTGCGTTGTTTGTTTGATCTTGATCAAGATGTTATGTTTTAAACACGTGTATAAAGTCAACGACCTTTGAGTTAGAAGCCTGAAAAGATGATGTCCAGGCACAAAGATTCAAAACAGCTATCATTAAATCAACATATCTTACAATAAAATATTTTTTTAATTTAAATGACACGAAATGACACAACACATTGAAAAACTCTCCGACCACACACAATTAGCAGAGGAACTGCAGTGGACAGCCCTTCAAAAGTTGAAAGCCTTGTGCCAAGATGGATTAACTTGGCGTTCGGAGATAATTAAAAGATGCAAGTCTGCTGACCTTTTGGGTCACTCGCTTTTTCACAAAAAATATTTCAATGAATAAATAATAATTTTTTAAAACTTCAACGTTAATCGATACAACCGTTTGTTTATTAAAGACACAAAAAAGTAAAAGAAAATCACTTGTGGCAGTGCTTTACTTAAAATTTTGCCCGACAATGTTCAGAAGTGTTTATAGGTACCAGCAAAAATTTTATATTTTTTTTTATACAATATTAGATTGTCTATGGTTCTACTGCTATGAGGAAATATATTGTTTCAGATTTTAGGAGCTGTATGAGATAGATTATTGTTGATTATGTTTAAGCTAGATGTATTAATAAGGAAAGTTTTATTTTGTCAAGTGATAACTGATTTAATTGGATTTGAATATTTGAGGAGCGCTAAGAAATATGGAGGCATAAATTTTTTATAAATTTAAATGTAAATATGGTTTGAAGATATAAATTAATTTGATTAATTCATAAAATTGTAGACTTAGTGAAAAGTTCTTTAGTATTGTCGGTATGTTGTCCTTAAGAAGCGTTTTTGGCAACTGAGTAATTGTTTAAATAAATACTCCGGATTATTACCCAAGATAATGGTGCAATAAATAAGGTGTTGAAACATAAAGCTATAGTATATAATTTAGTTTCAGTAGTGTAGTCAAATTTATGTTTCAATTTTTTTTAATACATAAAAAATTATGATTTTTTTCTAATAGTTAAAATTTGAGTCGACCGTGACAAATTACATTGAATATATACACCTAGAAATTTAATTGTGATAGATTTTCAAGTTGAATGTAATTTAATTTAAGTGATAAATCTTGGATAGTATTGAATTGCAGGGCCAAAAATTGTTTTAAAATGATTTATCAGTATTGATAATAAGCTTATTATTGGAAAACCATGACTCAATTCTTGTTAGATCAATATTTAATAAATTAACATCATCACTAATTGTTTGCAAACTATAAAAAATATTTGTGTTGTCGGCATACATTATACATCTAAATAATGCAGAAACATTTAGAAAATCATTAATAAAAAGAGTGAAGAGAGCCCAGTATGGAACCCAGAGTCACCTCAAATGGATACAAATTCTTTTCTACAATACAATTTCCAACACTGTTGGCGCCTTTGATGTGTTTAGGTTTCTTAGGTATATTAGAAGAAGCTGACAAAATTTTTGCTTGTAGAGAACCTTGTTTCGGACAATATTGTTGGTTTTGAGGGGGTAAATTAGAACGAAGAAAAGAAGAAGACGAAGATGTTGTTCTAAGACAAAAATTAAATTGACCAGAAGGTATATATAAAAATATATACGAATATATATACAAATATATACGAATATATATACAAATATATACGAATTTATATAAAAATATATACGAATATATATACAAATATATACAAATATATATACAAAACTTTCCTCATATTTGTCTGCCACTCTGCATCAAAGAAAGCGACAGTCCTCATCAAAACAGGAAAAGGTGAGTGGAGAAGTTGAAACTGCATGAAGAATAATTTGTCAGCAGGTACATCTGCTGCAGTTCTCCATGGTTGATCCGCAGGTTGGAAACTTTCTTTTATGCCATTTTATTCCGATGACTTTCTTTAGATTTTAAATGATCTGAAAAATCAAATTGTGGCTGTGTTCAACGCATTGAAAGAATTTTTTAAACGTGTTCTACCCTAAAAAAGTTTTTACATTTGAGCATGATTCAATAAATTGAAAATTATTAAAAAACCATACATAAACAACTTTACATTACATTAAATTACAAAACAAATCGTTATAACCCATTATATAGCACCTACTCTATTACATTGTATTTCATTCCTGTAACCTACGTAGCATTGTGTTACATCACCACTCAGATGGCAGGCTAAATCTGATACACGCACACACATGCATCGTGCAACAACAAAAATACGAAGATACACGTACGTACAATCTTTGTTTCATTCTTAATGCAAATTGTACTGATTTCACCTTGCACCATACTTATAACACAACAAAAGTGTGTCATTAGTACTCTGTCCGGATGCCATAACATGATTTAATAAACAATTGTTTGGTTGATCAGTTAGGTGCTTGGTTGGTCGGTTGGTCGGTTGGTCGGTTGGTTATTCTGTTGACTTATACTGCCAAGAATCGACTTTGAAAATCCTTTCATTCAGTATTTTGTGCAATCGATAAACAGCAAATGCAACTAAAAAAATTATTTTTATAAATTTTCGCGAAAAAAACCAAGTTAGTAAAAAATATTTGAGCTAGCCACAACTAAAAACCACATTGTACTTATTCTGAAAGCAGTGTAAAAAGCCAATAAAAAACAAACCAAATCAACAAACTCATGCCGGCCGAAGAAAAACTTGAAATAGCAACAAAATATACAGAAACAACAGAAAATAAAATTCTTTTAATACAAGCAGCATCGATAAACTACCCCAATGAAGATAAAACAAATAAAAACACAAAACAACGTCTAAACAACAACACAAACAGCAACACAAACAACAAGCAAAACAACACAAAAAAAAACAACACGGCAACATAAACCAAGGAGCCGCTAAACACAATCTCTCAGTTGTAAATCAAGGAAATTGTCAGTGTTATAAACGAGGCAGCATTACTTCAGCAGAACTACAACAAAGACTTCTATCCATGCTCTGCTCTGTCCACACAGCACTCCGCAAAAATCAAAACATTCGCAAAAATCTTTTTATCTTCCGCGTTTCAACCGCGAGAAACAAAAAGAGGTCGAAAGAGAAATGTTGCCGTGGGATTTGTTCGGCTTAATTGGGATCAATCAGTTAAGTAGATTGTTGAAAAATAAATAAATTTAATTTTAAACATTTCTTTATTTTATTTCTTTAAATAAATAAATTTGTTTCAATACAATTTCTATTAATTGATGTAAATGAACGCTTCAGAAAATGCTGTTGTATAAACCTTCATGGTAAATAAAAAATATATCAAAATTGAACACAGAGGCATTTTAATGAAAGCTTTAATTGGGATATTAAAAATTATTTGAGCAAATAATTTATTATATAAAATTTTTCGGCTTGTGTTTTTTTATTAAAATGTCATTGTTAAATATAATGTATATGTAATTAGCCGAAAAGGGTTTGTTCCTCCAATCTATTTGTTATTTCAATTTTAATTCTTCTCAGAGTTTTTTAAACTAAACTATCGATAGACTTCTGATTTACAGAATAAAAAAATTGAGTACAAATTCGTTGGCAACAAAAATGGATGCGAATATTCAGTGTAAATTAAAATTAAACAAACTGTTGAATCGTTTGAAAAATTTTTCACTA